TTTCTCTCGATTGATGTAACGACTGACAAAGCTGGCCATCATGTCGTTAATGTTATTATTGGGCCTTTTGTAGAAAAAGGACGTAGTTTTCTATTGACAGAAATGATGATTCACGGCATCTTCTATTGCCAGATGGAGTTCAGTGCAAAAAAGTTTTAGATACTTTTTGTAACAGATGCATCGCCATATATCTAGAATCTTCGTTAGCCGTGCTTTATTCCAAAATTATCCATATAACTTGCCTAGCTCATGTTTTCGGACAATTTAGAAGAAATATGGGCAAATTACGGAAGTGAAGAGAATTTCCACATTTGGCAAATAGTCTTTGTTTAGTTACTTTAATGATGCGCCTATATCGTGGAAAAGAGTTTCACTTTGCTACCGAGAGAGTCGGCATCTTTCCACGAATTCTCCCTTTTAATAATGCGCAAATGAGAACTCAACCAGCCATCGAGGTAAAATCGTAGACCGTGTTAAGTGACACGATCCATCTTATGGTGTTCTCGTGTTAACCAAAACTCACCACCACATGACGGTGACGTGGTCCTTGTACGAAAGTACGTATTGTCGGTGACTGGTTAAGGTCTTAATTCTCTTCCTATAGCGACACACAGCAGGAGCTTTTTGGTTTTCGCTTTCGGGATCACTTGACCACATATTACAAGCGCGATATAACCAGTTGAGAAATCTACCTAGCTTTGAAGTTAGGTTGAAAATTATTTACAATTTTAGACAATTCCGAATCACAACTTTACAGCTGCGTTCTATTTTTAAAAAAGTAAAATAAACTACAATTTTTCAGAAAGTTGATTAACCACAAGTGCGTATCTTGCACCTACCATCTGCTTTGTTATTACATAATATCTACAATTTCATATTTCATATTTTATTTTTGGAAAGAATTGTAGGACTGAGATTCCTTAGCTTATTTTATATACATAAATTGAATTTTATGGCTTCCTTTTCCTTTCTGCTAAAATTTAATTTATATGTAAGGTAAAAACGTATGGTCATTAGGGTGGTCCTTAAAAAATCAAATGAACGATTTTTCCAGTCTCACCCCTTCAATTGGTAACACCACTGTCATAGATATCACATATAAATTTTGCTCCCCATT